AAAAGATATTTTAAAAATGAAAAGTCTCAGTTACCACACAACATATTTTAAAAGGCTTAACATACCCAAACATCAGGTGCAGTGGGAGCCTAACCCCACCCCCGTGGACCAGTAGCTAATACTTGGAAAACATTTTTGGTTGTCTGAATAGCCTCAAATTACCTTTAAGTTGAAATAATTGAAGCCGACATTTCCAAAATAGAAATCAGGTAGGAAGTAATCTATAACCTTAACTTGTGAGTCCAGTAAACAACCATGAAGAGTATGCCTGTGCCTGCCGACCAGTTGGCCATATCTCCCTACTTCCCCTAAAACTGAGTGGGTCACCTATTCTGAAGTCAAAGTCTACCAAGCCAGCCACCACTGAAATCCAGGCCCTAGAGCATTACTCAACAGGAAAGGGTGAGTTCTAGAACGCAACAACGACTTCCTCCAGAGCTCCTGCTCAGTGAGAATCTTCAGAAGCTATTGCTTTTGGAAAAACCAATTAGAAAATACTCTAACATTAAGGACAGACACTAGACTGGCATATCATTGAAGAGGGTCTAGCAGCACTGCAGCTCTAAGTCCAGGCTGGGACAGTCACTACCAACATTTGTTTTTATTTATTTTATTTATTTATTTTTAAAGATTTTATTTATTTATTTGACATAGAGAGAGACAGTGAGCACAAGCAGGGGGAGACGCAGGCAGAGGCAGAGGGAGAAGCAGGCTCCCCACAGAGAAAGGGGAGCCCGATGTGGGACTCGATCCCAGGACTCCGGGATCATGACCTGAGCCGAAGGCGGTTGCTTAACCAACTGAGCCACCCAGGCGCCCCCAACACTTGTTTCTAAACCCAGAAAAGAGGACCAGTGGGAAATCCACAAAACTGTCTACCTCTTAACTCCTGCATTTTATAATCATACCACTTTCCTCATTTGCAACCCATCTGTTAGAATATTACTGCTGTGGGACATCCAAGTTTTTCTTCAAAAATCTCAAGTCTAAATATCAGCTTGAGAGGACACTGTTTGGTCTAAGAAGTCCAATTAAGTAATACTCCAGATTGGTCTTTCCATAGGGCTCATACATTTAGTGGCTTTTTGAGGGGCAGCCTACTACAAGTAGACAGACAATGAGGACAAAGTCTTGTCTACAAGACACAAGATTATAAACAAGATTTTGTTCTATATATTTTGTCATTTTAAAAGCACAGCTAAAAAGTTTTGGAATAATTTCTTAGAAACTTCGTATTTATCAGTGCACATCCAAATTAGATTAGTAATACTACTCTGGTTCCTCTTTTGCTTTTTACAAAATTGGATTAAAATCAATGTTATTGATTTTAAGGTATGGAATTTAGCAAGGAACTAGTATTTTGTCTAGCGATGGGAATTACCTGGGACTGAAAATAAAGGATTTTTTTTTTTTTTACTTTTGTAAGCAAGGTCAAAGCTGGCCCCAGAGAATGACAAAACCTAAAGCACTTTGTGTAGAAATAAAACAAAAGGTAGCTTAATCAGTAACATTCACCATTGCTTTGGTATCAAGACTTACCCAACCAGAAATTATACAGGCCTTAGAAATAATTATGGACTGCATATATACCTATCTTTCTGCTAGATAAAACATGTAACTTTTTTGCTATGGAAGGAATATCAAAAGGTACCAGTTTATCATTTAAGGTATAAATGACACTTAAAATATTACAGGTTGCATCAATAAAATCAGCACCTTGATTAATTTGAGAGAATACACAAAACTCCCTGCAGATTTGACACTTTAGGAAAAACAATTATTGTTTACATAATATACAGGCTCAGTCCTGCAATAGGTTTCTCTTAACGATTTCTGTAACAACATATTAATTTGCCAAGAACTTTAGAAAACTGTATATTTATTCCTAGGTTACGACCTGATGAGCTTCCAGAGGAGACTATGGCACAGTAGAAAAGCAGGAGATGCAGACGTGAAGCCCTTTGCTTAACTCCTGGCTTCGCTGCCTATGAGCTGCATGATGTTAGGCAAGCACAGTTTCTCTGAAGGACTGATCCTTCTTAAGTCAGAACAAGAAAACGAGGCTGAAGGAATAAATTAAGTAATTTGGTATCTTTAAATTTTCCTCAACCTTAAAGTACATCTAGCAATGCATAATCAGAATAAAGTCCTAAATGGAAGCTCAAATTTTGAATGAAAGTTCTCATGATTAATTAAAACTAAATTTACCCAGGATTGCCCTCTAATGGTCATCTTTTAGAAATGAAATCCCCTTGAAAACTACTGAATTTGCAAGTTACGTTTTTTTTTTTTAATTTTTTAAAGATTTTATTTATTTATTTGAGAGAGAGAATGAGATAGAGAGAGAGCATGAGACGGGGGAGGGTCCGAGGGAGAAGCAGACTCCCTGCCGAGTGGGACTCGATCCCGGGACTCCAGGATCATGACCTGAGCCGAAGGCAGTCGCTTAACCAACTGAGCCACTCAGGCGCCCCGCAAGTTACTTTTTCTATCAAAAGTTCCCCAAAAGGCTTATCCTTGTTCTGATCTCCAGCAAGTATGCTCGATGTTTCTCCAAGAAAGATCATCTTCAAGTGTATTTATTTAAATAAAGTTGTAAGTAAATAAAAATACACTTCTGATCTTTGAAACTATTTGTATAGCCAGGGGCACCTGGCTGGCTCAGTGGGTAGAGCATGAGACTCTTGATCTCAGGGTTGGGAGTTCAAGCCCCACACTGGGCCTACAGCTTACTTTAAAATTTAAAAAATAAAAGGTCAAGGTTTAAGAAAAAAGTAAAACTACTTCTCTAAACAGTCTTTTCAGATTTTTAAAATAACAGTTTCCTTGGAATGTTTCTCCTGTCCCCAACACTGAAAACCAAAAAGGAAACACAAGGAAAAGATAAAGGGCTTTTACCCAAGTCTTTTTTGCATTTTAAGCAAAGGTATAGAGATACCTTGTCTTCCAGGTGTCATGGTGAAGATTCAAGGGGTGCTCCTTATATTAAAGGATAGTATCACCACAGATCACTCCTACTTTGCAGGTATTCATCAACTTCTTCATTCTTGGGGTGACTTGTTGAGAAAAAGAAAAGTCTTCCAAATCAAAAGTTAATGTTTTATCCTAAATCTATATCCCATCTTATATCAAAACATGAATTCAGCATGGTTGGACTTATAATTTAAACTAAGGAAACTGCCTTAAAAAAACCTCAAACATACACTGGAGCCACACTGGGTCTGGCCCAAAGGTAATTTTAAATATCTGAATTTTGATGGGTGAAATGCTAGTACTCCCTTTTCATTTTCTGTAAGCCTTAGTCTCATTATCCACAAAATGGGGATAATATCTATTTTGTTGGAATGTTGGGAAAGCCAAATGAGGTAATACATGAAAAGCACTTAGCATAATTTTTGATAACGAAGGCATTAAGAAACAAGAGATTATCAATTAATCTCTCCAGTCAAAACATGCCAATTTTTGAAGAAAGCATTATATTGCCATTCAGAGGCACAAGGAGTCATTTTCTACCATGGTTTCTTCCTGAGACCTCACTTCAAATACTGTTTCAATGTGTGTTCCACCATAGGCATTAGAGTCCTTGCCGGTGGTGTATGAGTGAAATGGGACTTCTTAAGACAACAAAGTTGAGAAAAATCTAGCGAAGAGAATGATAAGCAACAAAGGAAATGTCTTCTGAGTTCTGGGTATTTCACAACAAACATGGTGCCTACCGACTGTCGGGGAAGTTAAGGGCAAGAACTTAATCCACATAGTGAATTGTTAGGTCTATTACACCCTCTAGTGGCCAAAAGGAAGATTGTTCTTTTAAAAATCAGTTTGGTCAAGATGGCAATTTGGATGTGTATATGTACACCCTTGAGTCAAAAAAATAACCAGCTTGCCTTTATGTGTTTTTTGCCTATGTAAAACAAAACAAAACAAAACAAAAGAAAAGAAAACAAAAAACCCTAAAAGCTAATGTTGAGAGGCCAATGCTGTCACAACTGGATTCATTCGGTTCTCTCTATTCACTGCTGAATGAAAACACTAAACAATAGAGGAAGAGGCGCAGGCAGCACACCTTCATGCCATGATGACTCTCAAATGTAACTAAAGTTAGTGGTCTTTGTTGCTTTACGGAAGGGAATTTTGAAATGAGTATCTTTCTAAAGCAGCAATTTTTCACCACAGGGTTATTTACAAGACAAGGTAATAATTAAATATGCCCAAGACTATGAATCTATTCTTCTCTGCCCAAAACCCTTCATTTTTATAATGGGTAATTATAGTAAAAACTTCAATTAACCAGAACCCTCAATTAACATGATTTCCCCTCTTGCATTCTATTTTTAGGACAAAGTAGAAAAAAGAATCACAAGAAGTCATTCCTATGAAGGATTGGGTTTGAAAATCTTCTAGGATGAATTATGCTAAGGAGAAAAAACCCAGAATAAAATTACATTCACACCATGATAAGCAATATATATGAGATCTACCTATAAATCATCAAGAGTTGGAAGGGAATAGATTTTCAATGTTAATGTGCTGGAATTGTAACCTATTTTCTATTCTTTTTATGGTCACATTGTTACATAAATAAAAGTCATAGATAAGGGTAACGTATATAATAAACTCAGCACATATTCTGCAACATTTTCTATTCTGCATCCATAGATCTGGACAGTAGAACTGAGACTGAGAATCAAAGTCCTAAGTCCTTCCAAGATCTTGAGATCCCAGAGATATAGTTAAGGTCACCAGACACTGTCAAGATAAAAAATAGGTCACTTGGGGAAACTTTCTTCTAATATGAGCTGAAACAAGAAGGGTTTTTATATAGTGAATTTTCAACTAATTTGAAAATAAATTTACCAAGACATCACTTATTCAGAAGCAACAGCCCTACTCAAAATCTCACTGTGGTTAAAAAAAAAAAAAAAAAAAAATCAAAATTCCACAAAGTAATTCAGGCTAAGCAACCACCCCTGAATTGAAAGTTCGTGATACCAAATCCATCTATTTAAAATACTGTTTATTTGTGATTTAACATTAATTAGCATTACATCTAAGAGCAATATCAGATAACATTTTACATTTTCCACAGGACACAGAGGTTCATTGGCTCATTCTTTATGCCAAAGCAAGTAAATAGAGGCATTAGCAAAAGGTGCAAATAGTTCACTGTTGCATTTAAAAAATATTTATGCACATTGCATTCATTTAAGATATATATATATTTAAAAAGTTATGGAAAAGCATAGTTCACAGGTTACTGTTTCTACATACGTTGTAATACAACATAAATGATGTAGAACATAGAAAAAATCCTCAAATACAGAATTAAGCAACTGAAAGTTTCCACTAAGAGATTAAAACACTGATTCCAGTAGTTAGTGAGATCTAGAATGAAATTTCCAGGCTCTGTTTCAACTTTGCATCATCATACAAATACAGTCAAACAGAACCAGCCCCCGAACACACTGTAATCAATGTGATTTTTTTACATGCCAACTCACCCTCCAGAAACACTTTGGATTATTTTTACCCACTGACCATTTCGGATCATTGATTTTACACTGATTTGTGACATCACTTGGGTAAAGGGGGGAAAAACTATATTAAGTCTAGGTTTAAATTTGTATTTACATTAGAAAGAAAGTTAATTGAAACAAGATAAGAAAATTTTGTAAAAAATCAAGAAGTGGTAGGTTTTCTCACTGGGGATCAGACCCACTGATTTCTCCTAGTACTGCCTTCTAAAGATACAGAAATTAAAAGGAATTGACCCTTTTAAAACTCAAATATCAATGAAGAAATATGAGGATTTTGGCAAAGCAGAATTTTAGCAATTTGGGACATGTTTCAAAAAAACTATGCTTCAAATCCTATCGTGACGATGAGTCTTTATCAAACTAGAATTCTTTGCATGACACCACTTTTGTTCCCTTCATTTTTCACTTTCTCTTTTCCTTTTCATTTGGTTACTGTATGAGAGCTTCTTCATTTGTTAGCAATACTAAGAGAAAAATACATGATAAGGTTCAAATATGAATCTAGTTATACCTTGAAATGCTCTAATCCCCTTTTGATACCAAGTCCCTGGATTCTTGAATTATATTTAAGTATACTTAGTACCAAGCAGCCTCAAATATGCTCTACGGTTATATGATTGGCTAATATGCTTATGATGCTTAAATTGAATGGTATATAAACATCTCAACATACAAAAATCGTTTTTGCCAGAGTTAAACTAAATAACCCATGTTACGTGTACAAAATCCCCTTTGTTGAAAAATAAGGGGCTTTCTAAACTAATAAAAAAGGAAGTTTTCAAAAATTATAGTTTACTAAAATGATTTTTTTTGGCAAAGAAAGTTACTTCAGGTGAGGAAATTTTATACTATGAATAAAATTCCAAATGAATCTTTTCCTAAACTTTTTTTTAAAAAAAATTATGTGCCAGTGTATACTAATGCTATAGATTCTTAGAAGCTTTTAAAGCGTTCTGTTAATGCCCACTGAAACAATGGGAACCCAAAAGGTACAGTCAATAATCATGGTAAAAAATTATAATCTGATTACCCAGTGAAGCAGCTGCTGAGAAATAAAAATTCTCTCGCTTGTTCCCTGGTAATTTGTTTCCAACAGATATTATGCAGAAGGCCTGAAGTAATTCAGACAGATACCTGTTTGTGGTGAATTATAGTAATACTTCATGAGGGCAGAGCTAACTAAAACTAGCAAGTATTTAAAAATTCAAAAACCTTTTTTGGACATATAAAATGAGAGATGAATTTGAGATTTTTTTTCATAATGTTTTTCTTTTAGTAAAATCTCTTTCCAGTTCTTAAAGTCCAGTTTGCTACATACCCCCAATCTTATCTACCACTGCATATTAATGATCAACCTAAATGTGGTATTTAAATGTGCAATGTCACATTGTAATAATTATAAAAAAGACTTCAGTTAGGCTTCAACTTTCTCCTTTTTTTTGTTCTTTTTCAGAAAAGAGGGAGTACGGAATTTCTTCTTTTTCTTGGATGGTGATTTTGAAGGTGAGCCTTCAGGTGACAGGACTTCTTCAATTTTTTCTGGAGACTTAATGGTAATCTCGATGTTCTCTATGGTCGTGCTTGTAGTTAACCTACTTACTCGCTTAGCAAGCTCATCTTCAACATCATGCATATCATCCTTGCCATTCACTACCATGACAGGCACTTCCATGGAGATGAAGCTCTTGGAAAATAGCTCATGGTTTTCTACAAAAGGGGAGGGTTTTTTTTTTTTTTTGGTTATTTTATATAGTTAACATCTTTGCTTTATTTTACAAAACTGAAACGTTTCAGCAATGTACTAAGGCATTCACTTTAATTTCAATAAAGATAAACCATTATCTTAATAGACTATGGATCTAGTAGCATGAAGCTGATTTTCTCACATGGTATAAAGGGGAAGGGGACAAAGTTTTTAGACCAAAGGATGAAGGATAGATAAGTCTGGTTTGATGATTTGACAGTTTCATTGTAAATCAAGTCAGTATAAATGAGGAAGACAACATGTATTTTTCTTTAATTTTGGGGTCATTTGGCAATTAAAACTGAAAAAAATTTCATGCTTCTGATTGGAAGATGTGGGACAAACCACTTTTAATTTCACAAATTCTTAAGAACTACTGGTTGCCAAAATCCCGATTAAGGTAAATCAATATAAACTATGAACAAAAGTAGCACACCATTTAATAAAAAAAGAGATATAAAATTATTGGGAGCTTTAAGTAAAATCCATGGCAAACATTGCAATCAGGCATTCAATTTCTTTACATGAAAACAAACGACAGAGGACAAACTCTTAAGACTAACTCAGTGAATGCTATGGGAAGTTACAGTGAATACCTTCTAATTTTTCAGGGATATTTTGCGGTGACTGAGTTTGAGACTGAATTTGTGAAACAGATGAAGCGTCATCTGAGAGTAATTCCTGCTCAGCATCTGTTGGATGAGAGTTTGGTTAAGAGCCATGCAAAACAAAGAAGCATAAGATCTCAGGGAGGTTAGTGCATACTTCGAACACCTGCAGACATATGATAAACTCTTCAGCAATGAGCTGAGCATGCTAACAGCTATCCCATATATCAATAATTACGCATTAAGAGGAGGTTAATGTGTTAACATTTCTGGCTGCTAATAATAAGTTTACATACATGCTTACTATAAGGAAGCATGGCTACTCACAGCCCAGGCAAATAATATGTATGCATTTAGCTTTTGCTAGAGTGTTAGAAAACCAAAATATATTGAGCAGCCAGGTGAAAAGAAAGATGAAGTCTCACCAATAATGCTACATTCATGAGGCAGAATGCCTCACTGAATTTTTGAACAATATCCAATTAGTGATTCCTGTCAGAGCAATATTAGTGAGCTAATTCAGAAGGCCATAATGAATGTGGAAGAAACTATTTATAAAAAAAATATATAAAAGGTGACGGTTCTAGAGTGCAGTATTTATTACCTGGCATCTTTAGGCTTTCAAAAAATGAGAGATTAAAGAGGGACCATTTTACAAAATAGAAAAACAAAGTTTCCAACCTTAGGTTAGAATAAACAAATTCAATAATACCACTTGGAACATTTAGCATCATCACATTAATGAGTCAGGATGACTCCCTCTTGTGACAAAGGCACCAACTAACATACTGATAAAAATCATTCCCTGGATGATCCAGTTGTCAATTCTTTCTACACGATACCTAACATGGACAAAAATTCTTTATCTATTGGTTCTGTTCTGCTTTGGGTAAAAATTTCAACTGTATGTTGTAGATGCTCTAAAGCAGAGGCTTTTACCCTTTTTTGGGGTCACAGACTTCTTGTCCCTTACCCTGAGTGCCCTCTTTCCCCAAATGTATTTCATATAAAATTGAGCATATATTTTTCAGATGGCTCATGGACTGTCTGGAGCTTATCCAAAGACCCAAGATTGAGAACCCCTGCTATAAAGAATTTCTTATTTTTGAGAAAAAGGGAGCTAGCATTTAATTAGCTGGGGTTTCATGAACAACTTTTAAATATAATCCTTACTTAGGGTTCTGAAGTCAGAAAAACTCAACCTCATGAGAGTGACCATGTGCTTAAAGAAAGTCACCTCAAAACTTTGGCAGTTTGCTTTCGAGATTATAATACTGGCACCTTGCAACACCCAAAAACAAGAGAGATTTTACAAAGTCTTAAAGACATACAATATATGCTGTAATGTTTAAATCTATTACTGTATCTGTATTTACTTTAGCTGATAATTCTTTACTTATCTGTGGATTTCACATTACTATGAAAGACTTTCTGCTAGCCATCAGATTGCTTTCGGAAGAAAACTGTTTTCTCTACATGTTAACATACATGGACTATGGTGGCTCTCTGCATTTTAGCTCCACCCACACTCAGTAAGGTCTGGAGAGATAACAGAACAATCAACTACAGAAGGAACATTTAAAAAAAACAAAACAAAACACTGACTGCCTTCCATCCAACTCAAGGTGTTCTGCTGTTAGTAGTATGGTTATCAGGCTTAATCTGAAAATGAACTAACCTTCCAGGCCCTGCTGTTTACGTTCGATTGTCTTCTTATACTCTTCAAGCTCTCTTTCTGTGAGATGACTGAAGGGGTTGGGAGGAGCTGGTGGGGCCTGATCGTCATCTTCAAATTGCATGGTCTTGCAGAGAAAAACATTGAAAGATCAGAGGTTATTCTTCAGAACTGGGTTAGGGGTTCTGAGGGCTCCCAGAATGATGGTGGGAGGATGGTAGGAGACTGAAGATTTCTCCAGATAAATGGCCTCAGATAAAAGAACAACAGATCTTAACATTTGGGGATTCTTCAGAGAAACAACCAATGACCTTACAGTGAAGCTCACCAGTTCCCAAGCTCTGCACACACCCAGAGCATCTGACTGGCTTTTCAGTGCCCCATTCTTAAATATAAACAGACTGCCATGTATTACTAGACACCCGAGGAACGCTTCCAACATGGAAGGGAGAAACCAGGGAACAAAAAAAAAAAAAGAGGGAACTCAGAAGAAACAAGGAAAATAAAGGTAGCTGAAAAAATTTAAAATTGATTCCCTTAGAGCAGTAAGAGAAAATGTTGTATCCATGAAAGACTAGGATGTTATTTATTTTTAAAGATTTTAATTATTTATTTGAGAGAACGAGCGCACAAGCAGGGGGAGTGGCAGGGAGAGGGAGAAGCAGGCTGCCCGCCGAGCAGGGAGCCCGATGTGGGGCTCGATCCCACGACCCCGGGGTCATGACCTGAGCCGAAGGTCCTGGTTCTCCACTTTGTCTAATAAAGGGTGAGTCATTTGGTTCCATTTTTAACTTTCTGCCTGTTTGAGTCCTCCCACCCTGCTGACCCAGAAGAGGGAGGGGAAGGGCGGGGAAGTGCAGAGAACCTCCTTCTGATCCTAGAGGGCTCCTAGAAGAAGGCAAGCCCAGGCTGGGAAGGCCCAGAGGATGGGTGCTAGACAATATGGGGAAGAAGGAGGAGGTCTCACAGGGCCGGCAATGCTCCAGGATGGGTCCTTGAGGGGTGGAGGGGACAGTCCGAGCTGAAGGAGGCTCAGTGGACAGGAGTGGATCAGAGGTGGTTTTTCCAGAGCCCTAGGAGGCAATCTCCCAGCGGATCTCTGGGCTAAGAGCCTCCACAATAGGAGAAATCCCATGAGGAGGCTGGTGTGGTCTCACCTCCAATCCTTCCCAAATCCACCGCACCCCTGGACTCAGCCAACCGTCCCAGAGACCCTGGCTCTAGGGTTAGACCCTGGGTCGGGATACTGCCCCCATTACCAACGGCAAGCTCTTAGGCAAGTTGCTTAACCTCTCTGGTCTTCCATTTCCCTTGTCTGTAAAGTGGGATGAAAATACCACTTACCTCATAGGATGGTTGTTGGAAATGTACAGGCGACCCTGTATTAGTACTTTTAAAACCTAGTGTAGTACCTTTTTTTTTTTTTTTTTAAAGATTTTATTTATTTATTTGAGAGAGCAAGAATGGGAGAGAGAGGGAAAGCACGTGAGAGGGGGAAGGGTCAGAGGGAGAAGCAGACTCCCCGCCGAGCAGGGAGCCCGATGTGGGACTCGATCCCGGGACTCCAGGATCATGACCCGAGCCGAAGGCAGTCGCTTAACCAACTGAGCCACCCAGGCGCCCCAACCTAGTGTAGTACCTTGAACACAGCAAACACTCAATACTGTTATTTATTAATATTATTATGGTTATCGGGGCGCCTGGGTGGCTCAGTTGGTTAAGTGTCTAACTAGGGCTGTTATGATCTGGGGGTACTGGGAGCCGGTGTGGTGTTCCCTGGTCAGTGGGGAGTCTGCTTGTCCCTCTCCTTCTGCCCCTCTGCCCGCTTTTTCTCAAATCAATCAATCAATCAATCAATCAAGCCTAGGGTGTTATTTAAAAAAGAAACATTCAGGGAATAAGAAGTCTTGGAAATTTTTCCAAAATATATCAAAACAAAATTAAACAGAAGGATAAGAAAATAAAGTCAAGCAAATCTCCCAGAAAATAGGAAAAAAAGACAAAGGGATGGAAAATGGGAAAGAAAAATCAAAGAGGTTCAACTAACAGCAAATCTTGACAGAAAAAGAGATTGAGGAAAAAACTACTGAAGAAATAGATTTAAAAAATTCCCAGAGCTGAAGGCTAGGACTTTGCAGATTGAAAAGGGTTACTGAATGCTAAGAAAAAAGACTAAAAAAAATCTACTACAGAGCACATCATCATAAAACTTCAGAACAGCAGGGATGTAGAAGAGATCTAAAAGAATAGAAAAGGGCCCTACACAAAGTCACGTGAATCACAGTGCTCCTCTCAACAGTAACAGAGTTAGGGGACAACAGAGTGATGCTTTCCGTATTTTTGAGGCAAATTATTCTAAACTAGAATTCTATGTCTATTATATGAACATATGAGGGTAGGACAGGATTTCAAGCTGTTACCTTCTGTGTATCCCTTCTCAGAAAGCTAGGAAGAAGATATGTTCATTGATAAAGGAATAAATCAAGAAACTGGAAGACACGATGTAGGAAATGGGATACTACACAGTCAAGAATCAGAGGAATCCTCAGGATGAGACTGTGCAGCTGGCCTGAAGAGCAACCAGTCCACATCTGGACTGGAAAGACAGAGTAATGCAAGATTACCTGTTACCTTTGACCCTTTGGAAAATAATAAGAAGGGCTTTAATTTTCCTTTGAAAAGTTTGGGAAGAACTAAGCCAATGTACCCAAAATACTAAGCCAATGAAAAAAGGAGGCACTTATTAACTCCAGGGGTCAGAGACTAGTATAAGAAAGGATTTGTAATCATGGGATATTACCTGGCTCAGCAGTAAACACTGAATAATGTGAATAATAACATTGAAAGCTGATCTAACCAGGAAACTGTAATATAATCTTTCCCCCACATTTTCTCATCTCTGAAATCAGGATTCATCTAATGATTGATAGCTTCCTACAATTATAATTGTGAGGGTCTTTTCTCTTTTAGTGATATACAAAACAACGGTACTTCTTAGAGTTGATGACATAGATTCGATGACATCAACTGAGATCTAAAATTAACAGGCCAAGAACTCTTTAGAAACGTGAAGATAAATGCTAGAAGAAAGTCCTTGCCCCTGGAAATTGGAAGTTGAAGGTGATATTTTAAGTCTGGCAGTTATTTGACTTTTCAACTTGTGCTTATATTAACTTTAGTAAAAATAAATATTCATTTATCAAAAACAAAGAAATTAATGTGGTAGATCAAAATCAAAGATCATATTACTTCATGGACTTACAGAAGGAGGTTTATCCACAACAATTCCAGCAAGCAACTGAGACTGTGGTCCTGCTGTTTTCAAGTCATATCGGTTTTGTTCTCGAATCTGAATTGAAATACAGTAAGAAGTTCTTGGGGACAACTATGTAGATGACCTTTACTCTCTTTTCCCACAGGCTTGCTATTTGCCCACCCAGAGCCTTTTTCGTTCCTGTCTCCACCCATCCCAACAACTCACATTCATCTCCTCCACTCTTTCTGATGTGTGACTTCTATTGTCTTATGTGGTTAGAGAATTACATTTTCCACTAACGCCAGGGCTCACTTTCACTAATACAGCAGCAATATGTTTAATACTTCTTCCCCGTGTAGCCCACTTACCAGTGAATAGCACAGAGCTGGAGGTATTCAACACAAGCCAAAATTATACTGAGTTTCAAAATCTTCTTTATTCAAACCCCCAAGGTTGGTATTAATCAGATTTAATCACTAGTGATTTGAACATAAAATGGTATTAAAAATGCCTCCCCTGGCCCCAGAAGACCACATCTCACCTTATTTCTCTTCTCTAGTACCTCATTCGGGTTTGTGTTTAAAGGAACAAACTGATTTGGATCTTCAATTTTGATAGGTGTTCCACTACTAACTTTAGAAGAATCCTCTGCTCTCATCCACTAAAAAATAAAAAATTTTATAGAATGAAGCTTTGTGTTAAGGAACAAGGGTAGGTTCTTGGTAACTGTTTATTGACTCAAGGAGAGGGAGCATACACTGCCAATATGTTAAAGAATTTCACTAAGCAGTATTTAGTGGTCAATTACTGTATATCTCATACTAGTTAGAAAAAGGCTCACGATCAGCACTCACTTAAAAAAATGTGATTACTATTTACATGAATACTCATTTATATGGCTACTTAAATTTTCTCCTTTTGGCATTTTCAAATATGATGTTCAAAACATTCCAAGCACAGATACAGAGCTTGATCTTGTATTAACTCACATTCAGAGATGGCGCCTGCATTGAAGTTTCTTCAACTGATGATGGCTAAGTCACTGAAAAGGACTCAAGGAATCCCTTAAGATTTAGTTTTCCAGACTTCATTTTTTATTTTTGGCTGCCAGAAAAGGTCAACCCCCTGACCAGCATTTTACAAAGAGGGTAATCTGGTAGTGACCCCATAATATAACAGAATGATAGGGATGGAAGAGCCTTATAGAATTCTTCTTCTTCACCCCATATTATATCCCTAAAAGAAGGCTAATATTCATCAACATTAATAATGGTTGGCCATCAGTCTCTGTCAATAAAATTAATTCTGGGAAACTAAGGAGTTTAATTATGTTCTTTTCCTAGGAGATAAGAAACCTTTTTTTTTTTTTTTTGTTTAAGATTTATTTATTCGAGAGAGTGAGAGACAGCACAAGCAGGGTCAGAGGGAGAAGCAGACTCCCCTGCTGAGCAGGGAGCCCGATGTGCGGCTTGATCCCAGGACCCTGGGATCATGACCTGAGCTGAAGGCAGACGCTTAACCGACTGAGCCACCCAGGTGCCCCAGGAGATAAGAAATCTTATAGACTAGGGAGAAACACTTTGATGTCTAGGCACTTCCATATTGAATGGTACTGATTGATAGGATGAACAATTTTGAGTCTTTAGAGGATATTTGGTGATAAGCACTCTAAAACTAAACCAAATCTGAAGCAAAATGTTGAAAAAGACAACCCATTTCTCTCTCTACAAGATCTTGCCTAAGGATAAATATGTGCAGTAATTCATGACACTTTGGCACCATTACGTTTCCATAATTTTTATAGCTTTGATTCACTGGTGTAATATAAATGGCAAAGCAGTAGCTAATAGTGGATTAAGAAGAGGGCTCCAGAATCATTTTTGTATGCCTTCAAATACTGACTTTACTATGCACAAATGATTAGTTAATTCCTCTGTGCCTCAGTTTTCACATCTATAAAATGGGGGAGAAAAATAGTATCCTCACCGTATTAAGAGAATTAAATGAGAATTCACTTATGGCCCATAAAACAAAGTATCTTGTTATCAAGTTTATAACTGATAAATGACAGGTTATTATTATTATATTCTGCTTTCCCAGTATTTTTAACAGAGAACATTCAATTCAGGAGTAACTAGGCAAAATATTTCGTAAAGGTGAATCATATAAATAGTGACATACTGTGATTTTGGTCCTGGGACTGGTTTCACCATTCCGAGACTCCTCAGGCACATTCACTTTCATGTAAGTATTTGGGGAGTTCAGCCATCTTGTTTTTTCCCGCTGCTGCCTCTGTGCCATATATTTGAGAGGAGACAGTAGCACTGTGTCATCCTCGAAGGAAAAAGCAGTCACAGTTGCCGGGATCTCCACATCACTCTTGTGCCTGGGCTTCTCTCGAACGAGAGGATGCCTGTAAGCATAGCCTGTTCTATACCCCTAAGGGACAAAAAAACCACATCTGAAGCAATCAAACGTGTACCAAACACAGCATCTGGACTCCAATTCTTTAAATAAATGATCAAAAAGACTCCTTTGTTGAAAAACAAAGGGGAAAGTATCTTTCAAACCCCACATAACCTCCACATAACACTAGAGTTGAAATTAAGCAAATTTCAAGATTTGGTTAAAACAGATTCCAGCTGACAATGCGATTTCCACTCACACAACTGTTCCTGACAAAGGTAATTTCAAAACTGCTGACCAGAAACATTTTCCTAGCTATTTTCCAGTTTTTTGGAAGCCAAATCTCAGTGCTCATTTAAGTCTTTGTTCCAGGGTCTGAAAGCAATCTATCTTCTGACCCTTAGTGGAAGAGGGTAAAATCTTAAGATGACATTTGCATGTTTTACCGTATGATTCTTAAAAATGTGGTAAAATTACACTGGAATGCCAGAGGCATAAGGAGGGCCCCAGATAGTCCAAAGGAGGATGGAGGCATTTGCTCTTGAATCTGAAGACATGAAAACCAAGCTTATGTACAATTTTTCACCTACCAAATTATCCAGAGTCCTCATCAGCCCTTCAAACTCAATCTCGCCAACCTTCCATTTTTGATGGGAACCCATATTCACTCCTCCTCCTCCAGATGCTACCACGGTGTAAGTGAAAGCTTTGTACTTCTGAGGATCCAGCACAAGCAGATTGTCTACTCCACCTGCCCCTGCTAATGCCTGCACCTGTAATCAATGGCAAAATAGAGAGACACAAGACTGTAAAGATTATAAGTATTTTACCTTTAAAAAGGTATAATTTTAATTTAGCAAATACCTATAACACTTTCTCAGGCTACTAACAACAAAAATAAGGCAATATACTTGTGAAAAAAGGCAGCTGAAGTATCTTTTCCATCTATCTGAAAAAGATACCTTCCAGGATTCTGACCCTCCCTGATGGAAAACACATTTAGAGCCATTCCTTTTAACATATTTCAAGAAACTGAATTCTCTTGCCAAATTTTAAAGTTATCTTGCAGTTTTCCCATGGTTTTTTTTTTTTTTTTTTTTTTTTGCTGACAGTTCTAATTTTAAAGGAATATAGACACTATACTGTGAATTTAAGGATATTTAGGCAGAAGAAGTCAGCTCATCTTAATCAAGCTTTTCATAGCTTCATTTGAGAAGAGGAGGTACTGCTAAAGCAAAAAAAAAAAAAAAGGTTAAGACATTAAAATTGACAGAAAAGTTTTTTCCCCTTTTTGTGGCCCTTCCAATAAATTAAGACTACTACCATTTGCTTCAAGAGAATCTTCTTGAAGATGGAAATTAGGTCTGTTAAAAATACATTCAGCTTCTCTGAGAAAAAAGTGGCTGATAACTATCCAACTTATTATAATAAGTCTGAGGCCGTGCAATTGTTAGAAACTGCACAAATTCATAAGACTTCTGGCCCTGCTCTTACACTTTTTATAGAAATGGCTATAATACATCTGATCTTTGAGGACTGACAGTTGCCTCTGTTTCTCAATTAGCACCACACCACTTCAGGGTAAAAACAGAGATGTGTACAATTACACTATCTTAAAAAGCAGGATTATGGGGAAAACGATGTTTATGAGGCACTCAGATTTGTGTGTGTGAATTTATATATGACATTTTTTTCCCGTCCTATTTTCAATTCAAGAGATAACTGGGCTGACCCTTTTTATTCAAGTAAAACAGAGCTTCTCTTAAAAGACAAACGAAACAAAAAGCCAATAGGACTTTGAAAGTAAGTAAATACAAAACCCATCTCAACAAGCAAATTACAAAGCAATAAAAAAAAAAAAGTGGGGGAGAGAGGATAATTTTTCCTACCTGAATCTCACAGGCTATCTGCACGTTAAATATATAATGAAAAGCCTCCTCAACTGTTTCTCCAAGGGCTACCACACCATGATTTCTGAGTACCAGCACCTAAAATAGAATCCCAAAGCAATCACTTTAAATAACTGGCATAGCTCACACTGTTTTCATCAACAGCAACAGGAACAGCAACAAAAATAGCTCCTTTGATAGAAACTCTACTTACATACCTTACAACTTGGCCCCAGAACTTTCTGCAGTTGAATTCTCTCCTCCTGTTCATCAAGTGACCCTTGGTAGTCATAATAGGCAATATCTCCCAGGAGGAGGGACTCTTGAGAAATTGGAAGGATCCCACACTTCATGGAGGATACCTATTTGATTGGGTCCACGTCAAGAGGACACATTTAGTTACTAATCACACTCTCCTAGGAACCTGATTCTTTAGTCAGCTCAGGAAGCACTGGCCTATTCACTGTGTTCACCATTCCAGCCCATCTCCTACTTCAGCTCGTCACTTCTTCCAGAGGGGGGAAAAAAAGGATTTAGGGGATACAAGTCAATTTAAATGTTGTGCCAAATATTATGAAAGAAACTTTGCTTCAAAGAACTCAGTACCCAATTATTAGCTGATTAGTTAAAAAGGCCAATGCTATCTCTCCAGGTGTTTCCTACAATGTCAAGCATTTGGTCCAAAGGAACTTTTGCTTTCTGGGTATTCAGAGGATTAATATTTTGAATATGATTCTGAATGATGGGGTGTGAAAGCGTGCAGGTAGTAAAGCATCACGTAAGGAAAACCATGAAAATTAAATACACTTCCCAGAGCCATTGCTGGCTTTAGTCTTCAGCGACTTACAGCTGCTGTTGCAAGAGTATGGATGTGGATCACACACTTAACATCAGGACGTGTGGAATAGATTGCAGCATGGGGACTGAAGCCTGTGTGGTCAATTTTCAAATTAGTACTTCCCTGATCAACCACTTCTCCTATTATATTGACTTTTACCTGGAAAAAATCAGAGAGACATATTTAGTTGGTATCAATGTATCAAAGACATGTATCAAAGTCTGCCTGTGGTCCACCAGCTAAACCAGGGGGTGGCAAACTTTTTTGTCAAAGACAAACAGTAAATATTTTAGACTTTGTGGGCCTCTGATGCAACTACTCAACTCTGCCACTTTATGTAGAACCATAAAGAACTGTAAAAAAAAAAAAAGTGTGGCTTTGTGCCCATTAAACTTTATTTACAAAAAACAGGCAGTCTGCAACAAAACTTAGAATTTATAAGAAGTTGTTTCTAAAAAGCCAAATAACTTAAAACTCTTCACTAAAGGTCTGGACGAGGTCTGGCATTTACTAAACTAGCTGGAAAATCTCCATTTGCTAACACTGCAGCACCCAGAACCAATGTAGTTGCTGCCATTCTAGAAGCCAATGATACTGGTTATGAGCATAATCATGGAAAAATAAAATGCTACACAGTCAGCCCTTCTGCTCAGACCAACTGAATTTTGCTGAAATCTATCTATAAAATACACGTAGACTTTGTGTGTAGGTTTTAAAAAAATTGCAGAGTATACAGGGTGGAAAAAAATTCAAGATTCCCTTCAAAGCATGGATAGGTTCACTGATAAGACCAACTTATTTATTAGTCTCTTCAACTACCTTGTTTTTCTTGACCCCTAAAGCTTTTCTTAAAAAAATCAACATAACCTTCCAAACTCTTTCCTGTTCATTAGCAAATGTTTTCCCATCCATACCTTCTCTTGTTCTGTCCTGTACTAAAAACTAAAAGCTGTCAGAAAAGCACAAAGAAGGACAGAAAAAGTAACAGGAATGAAAACTATACCAAATTGGAGGCTGTGGCTTCAGAAAAAGACAGGCCTCTAGGAATTATTATTATGTGGTCTTGCTCCTTACTTATTCTCACCTGAGAGAAAGAAAAAAAAAATAGGGAATTACTGTGAGGTGTTCATATTTTGCAGTGTAAATACGATGGGGAATATATTTGCAGTGAATAACTGTAAGAGATCGGGGGTGGGGGGAGGTTGACAGGAAGCAAGAAAGCAGAAATTAAAGGTGTGCAACAGAAAACTTTCCTTGAAAACTTTTCTTCCCTCAACACTCGAGCACTTGCTAAACATTTCTGACATTAGTTTCTCATTTACTGAACTTAACCTGAAGTGTTATCCTGGGAGTTCTTTTTTTTTTTTTTTTTTTTTTTAA